ATAACCTCTTTACCACGCTTAAATAACTAATATATGTGTCATCACAATCAAAGTTCTATATGATTTCCTTGAACAATCCAAGCTGTTATAAATGGCAAAGTAAACGTCCATAAATATGAAAGATTTATAAATACATTTCATATCTCAAACTATGGCATTCAGCGCTCAATCAACAATCTATCGGACACATCCATCAGGCAAATAGTGGAGCGAAGCCAAATCAGAAAATCGCAGCTAGAGCGATATAGAACAGCAATAAAGCAAAAGCACTAAGCAGAGTCAACATAACCTCAATTTGCTTATAGTGGCATAAACTTGGCCAGCTAAATACAATATAACATGGCCAGCAATAGAGACAGGGATAGAACAAAAGAGAAATAGAGAGAGAGAAAGAGAGAGACAGCTCGAAACTAATCAAGCTGAACTACAATAAGGACGTTGAGCAACAGCAACAACAACTTGGACATAATAAATAGAAAAATAGAAAATTATGATGGAAAATTATGACTTAAGTTGGCGACGTTGTCGACGGCGACGCTAACGTGAACGAAAGTCATTTGTAAAACAGACAACAACAACAGCAATAACAACAACTTCAAAATGTTCGCTATGGTCAGTTGTGGTCATTAAGGCTGCAAAGTTGTTGCTTTTAGCTGTTTTTTTTTAGTCTTTTGTGTCCTCATATTAATAATAAATATTTATTCAACATTTGCCGTTGTTTCTCCTGACAAGCACGCAGCCATCGAAAATGTGCGAAATTTAACGGGCACGCAAATTGTTAATATTTCATCGGCCAGACAGTGTAGACACCTCAAGATGGCTTAGACTATTAAAAAGATAGTACCGTAACGATTGGCAAGGCGAACAAAGCTGTAACTGCAAATACATAATGCATATGGCTAACAGGAATTTCTCTTACAATCAGCCAAGTGACAGTAAGTCTTTTCCTTAATGACGAAAGTGGTATAAATAACCTTACCAGTTGGCATCTTCATACATTAAAATATATCAATATAAAAAAAAAAATAGGAAATAGAAACCTTGCCAGTTGGCATCTTCATATAGAAAACTATATATAGATTATAAAAAATAAAAAAAAAATAAAAATAATAATAAATAATATAAAGAAACAATTTGATTATTTAATTCTTTTCTTTAAAGTAAAGACTTTACTTTATCCTAAAGGAGTTTACTTCTTTGCTTCTTTCTGTATCCTATCTATCAAATCTTATTTTTATTGTTTCTTCAATGCCTTTTTATTCCACTTTTCTTATATTCAGTCTGCACTTTGATCATAATTCATATATAATTATTTTATGTAGTAGTATTTTGCTTATGGTAGCTACTATTAGACCAGTTATTGTTGCTCAATAGGAAACGTAGGCAAAAGTCTACTTCCCACATTTAACTTCTTCTCTCAGCCTTTGTCTATGCAAGTTAACACCATAGTCAAGCTATTTACATAAATCCTTTAATTTGGCCTTTGTAAATGATTGAAGTCAGAAGTACCACAAAAGCTTTATGCTCTATGCAAAAATTCGGATATATACATATTTTGCATTAAAAGATAAGAAGTTGTAAGATTATATTTATTTTCCTATATAGCATATCGCAAATAATTTTTGACCTGATAGGAATCGAAATTAAGTACATCATCCGAGTCAAACGGAATGTCGACATGGTTGCTTCATTTATTAATATTTATTTATTAATATATAGTACATTACCTTTTTAATAATAGATAATCATCAACTATTACGTCTTTATAAACTATCAGAATGAGAATTTACATTGCTCATCATTATCAATATTATTAAAATTATTATTATTATCATTACTTTCTTTTGTTAACCAACACACATGTTGAATCCCAATCCCTCGTGCTTCGTTAAAGTTGAAAACTTCGCAGCATCTCAGCAATAAAGGCGTAAAGCCAGAGCAAAATTCCCACTGTTATGCAGAGGCCCCCACTCAAATCCGAAACAGCAATGCCGACCCAATGGGAGAAATGGGATTTTCAAACATATCGCATATACAAAATGCAAACATGTCTGGCAAACACAAATCCCATAAATGTCTGTGTGTGTGTCTGCGTCCCCGCCTCCCTTTTCGAGACGGTTCTTTGGCATAGTGATAAAAACTTGCAAAAAATATTTTCATATGCGAAAATGTGTAAAGTGTAAAAGTTTCTAACGCGTTCGCTCTGTTCGCCTCTTTTTTTCTTTTTTATTTCCTATTTCCACATTGTTTGTGTTTTGTGTATTTCTGTTTGCTACGTCTGAAATATCTGTCTGTTTGTCTGTCTATCTGTCTGTGTGTCTCTGTGTCTGTCTATCTATCTGTCGCTGTGTGAGCATCAGGTGCTGTGGCAAAAGAAATTACAACAAATCCATTTGTGAAATTGCAAACCGAGACAAACCACGACCACGACCACGGCTGAGATGATGACGCCTCCACCAGCAGCGCTTATCCGGTTGCCTTTGATGCTGCACTATGTGTATGTGTGTGTGGCTTCTCTCCTCTTTTTTTTTTTTTTTTGTTGTGTATTTTCTTCATCTAATTTTTGGCTGCTCTTTTGCCTGGCACTGACAGCACTTGCTAGAGCACTTTAAGAGCCGTAGACGTTGCTCGGCCTCGGTGCTAACCAATTACATGGCTGGCCAGGGCTTCTCCTGTCATTATGCACTCAAAAATCAAGATGGAAGGCACTCGCTGCCTGTCATTTGCCTGGCCAAACATTCATCTTACTAAAGTTGGCCAGCCAGCAAGGGCCCAGCCAGGTCCAGCAATGCCCTTAAAAACCAACCGAAACAGCAGCGCAGCTACTGCTGAGCCTTCTCCTTATGCCTAGCCAAGCCAACCTAAGCCAAGCCAAGCCGATCCGAGCCGAGCCGAGTCGAGCCATGGCAAACCAAGCACAGCGACAAGACATTCATCAATTTGTTAAGCGAAGCCGAGCAAAAAAGCGAAATTGAAACGAACATTTTTCGTGCTGCCGTTGCAGCTGGCATATAAATTTGCAAAACTAAGTGCACTGCCTGCTGCCAGGCTTCCAACTACAGCCAGCCAGCCAGCCAGCCAGCCAGGCTGCCATCCAGCTAGCACCCGCCAGGACAGCAAACTACACACGTCAAATTTCAAACAAGTTCGGCCGCCGCAGGACATGCAACAAAACGACAGTAACCAGCAGCCAGCACCGAGCGCCGACCGTGCTCCTGTTCCGTGCACAGCTCAGGCTGCTTGTAAAAAAATATATATATGTGTATATATCTGAGGAAAAAAAAAAGGAGAAACTCTGCCAAAGGAGTTTTGTAGACTGCTAGACTTGCTAGCTATATGTGTTTGTAGCCAGGTGGGCTGCCAATATTTTTCCTATTTTTCTCTCTCTCACTCTCTTTCTCACTCTGTCTCCGTCTCTCGCCATTTTGTTTTTGTAAGCATGCTCTGGCTGCTTGCTCGATGCGTTGCGAAGCGGAGCCACAATGAAATGGCCAACAACTGAGCTATAGGAATTTGAGCCATGCATAGTTGGGAAGCTACTGTTGGCAGTTACGAGCCCAACAACGACTGCCACAGCTCGTGATTGTCTGAGCAAAACTTTGGGCCAGGCTACAAAATATGCCTCAGCTTTAACGCTTTTTAACAAAGTCTGCAAAGTTTTTCGGCATAGCAGACAGACAGATGAGTGCATGAAAACATAAGCAAAAAACGTCTAATAGTGCCTAATAAAATTTTATATTCAACCGAAATAGCTAAAGGCGATGCAAGTTGCAAATTACGAAATAAAGGATGATTATTATTAACACAAGCTCTATTTAAAATTAATAGTTTCGATTAACAAAAAAAAAAAAAAAAAAAAAAAAAAAAAAAAAGCCCGTACGGCATTAAATTGCTATATATGTTGACACATTTTCAGTAAACTGTGCAGTTTCTTTTTTCATGTGTTAAATATTTAAGCTTATTTTAAGGCCCACTCTACAAAGTTAAATAGAAGATGCACAAAGCTTTATAATTTAAGAAAAATGATTTAATAAAATACAATTATTATTTATTTATTTATTTAATTGCTTAATTGTTTCTTTGTTTATTTATTTATTATTTATTTACTTATTTAATTGCTTAATTGTTTCTTTGTTTATTTATTTATTATTTATTTATTTATTTATTATATATTTATTTCTTTAATTGTTGTTTTATGAAAGTAAGCTAAGCATTTCGAATTAGTTTCATAAATTCTCTTTATCAACCAATTAATTAAACTAATTAATATTACTATATATTCGACCAGTATTTCCAATGCATATTGGATGCCTCTCCCTTTGAATTTTATTATTATTATTATTATTATTTTTTTTTAATATATAATTTGGCACTTAAAATAGCTCAAGCCAAACACAGCTGATAGACTTGAAGCTTGGCGCACAGCATTTGAATAAGACTAACTGATATTTTATATAAAATATTCGCAACAATTCATAAAACAAACTTCCCATTTTTTTCTAAGCTCTGAAAGTTTGGCGCCAGAAACAACTTTTTGTTACGCTAAAACCCAAATGAACCCAAAAGTTCTGCTGGACCGTTCCTTAGCTACCTGCTGCCGGTGTGGTTACATTTTATGCCAGAATAGTGAGAGAGAAAAAAAGAGAGTAGGAGAGTGAGAGAGCGAAAGAACTAAAGAGAGAGCAGCAGAGACATACGTTAGTTTGGGGAATTGCAAATAAATATTTCAACTGCAGTTGCAGATTATTTTAGTGCTGCGACTGCTTCGAAACTAGAACTGCCAACTCTCCAAATGTTAGCCCAACAAAAATATATACATATATATATAAAAAAAAAGGGAAATATAACATATATATATCTGTGTATGTATATCAAATGGAATACGTAGAACGGAGCAAATGAAGCCAAACTGCTGAGACAAGGAGAAACAGCTCAGCTTAGATTTCTCCGGGGAACCATGATAAAGTGTGCACCATGGCAAACGGCATAATGAAGACAAATAGAGAGGAGAGTTGTTGTTGGCTTGGCTTGGCTTTTGCCATGGATAATTTCAATTTATTTTCCTTCGATTCTCAACTGCGTGTGGTATACAAAATGCATGCGGCCCGCTGTGGGCTCACTTTTGATTCTGATTATAGTTCCTGAGGTAGATGCTAGCAACGGCCTCCTGGAAGCGGCGGCGTTTTTTGCCACGCGCTGCCTGACGCTCCAACAGTGCGAACTCATCCTCGTTAGGTTCCTTATCGTGTTGCTCCTCACCAGCGCCATATTCACCCAGTGGTTCTTGGGCAGCCGTTGTGGCTGCTGCTAGAGGTGCTGCTCCATCCCATTCATTCGCTTCCGAGTCATTCTCCTGCGCACTTAATCCTTGTAGTATGTCGATAAGAGGAATCGATTCACGACGAAAAGATCCACTTCGGCCACCACCAGGACCAGCAGCACCACCAGCAGCACCGCCAGCAGCAGCACCGGCACCGGGAGGGAACGCAAAGTTCTGTGCATTGTTCGCGTCAACAATTATAATGGAGCCACGGTTTCCACCATACAAGTTGGAAAGTCCAGGAATCTGATTAGGAGGAAAACGATATGGTGGAAAATATGGGTAGGCTGCCCAGGGCGGACGACGATCTCTGTTCGAGTCTTGATTCGGCTGCACAACAATAATCGGTCGCTGCGGGCTATTTGGACTGCCATTCCAAAAAAATAGGCGTGGCTGACTCGCAGCTAGAGCTGTGTGGATACAGATTGGAGAAACGTGATCGTGAACAGGAATACATAAAACAATTATAATATCGATACTTTGTAACTAAAACATTAGTCTAAACAAAACAGATCTCGATGTTAAGCAAACTATGAATCTTAAATGATATATCTGAAAATAAATTCAAAAGTTCGGAAAGGAGTCTCGTTGTTCTGTATATCTCTGAGCTCTGACTCAATTGACTTCTTTGAGTTTCTATTCTTACGCTCGCAAGGACTCTGTCCATTCATTTCTATCACAAGTTTCAACTCTTTATGACTCCATTGACTTAATTTAAATTTTTCACTCAAATCTTAAGGATGACAATTCCAGCTCTTAACCTTCCTTCACTTACCCGCTCGAAAGCCATTCAACTCGCCATTCCTTATTTGTGCAGTTACGACAAAGGCCCCACAAATCGTTAGGAGTAACAAACTTGGAACAAAATGCTTAACCATCTTGGTATCTTCAGTGAATGCTGATGACTGTGCTCTAAGCAACGATCAACAGCGCCTTATATAGCAGCTGTAACTAGCTAGTGACACTTTCTAAGTTATATTTTTTTATACCCTGAATCCCATTGAAAGTGGGAATTCAGGGCTTAATGGTTTTGTTAAATATATGCAGTGAAAGGCGTAGCAGACCCCTCAAGGTAAATATCTTCTTGATCAGGGCGAAGAGTTAAACCATTTAATCCGTACGCGTCCGTCCGCCTGTCCGTATGTATGAACACGTCGATCTCAGAAGATATAGAAACTAGAGATTGGCTTCTTTTTTCTTAAGTTTGTATATATCATGCACAGATGGCGTAAATTTCCAAAAATTATCGATTAAATATCTTATTGAAAATCAGTTATAAAATTTTATCTCCCACATCTTTAAAGATAGAGTCGGCAAATCTTTAATGTATATTTATATGTAATTTATAGAATTTTAATTTTTGATATATATTTAATTTATATCCGCCCATCACTCTTAAATTTGTGAAAGGCGAATTTCAAATACAAGAGACATGTGCTTCGATACACTTATCCCGCATTTAAATTATTTTTTTGATCAGTGCGGCTGCCTGTGTGTATATGTGTGTGTGTGTGCTTGTGCATGTAATGTTTTTTGTGCAAGCAGAAATGGAAGAATTACTGAAATATTCGTTGCTCGAAAGGTGCAGGGCATCTCGAAGTCGAGCAGTCTCTAGATTTCTTGCTTGTTTTTTTTTTTTTTTTTTTTTCATTTTTTCTTTAGCTCAGATTAAGCGTCAATTCGCCATAATTTTGCTTTGGTATTAAGTTCTAATTTAATTGGCGATCTATTTAGCCGAGAGCTGTTTAATATTATCGCCTCGTAAATCAATTTCAAAGCAATCCCTGCTTGGCAGTCTGTTTATTGCAGCCATCAAATGTTTCGGAACTGAACTGTTTTTTCACAATTCATTTGGCGAGTTTATGTTTATGTTTTGCATTTTGCCTCTTCCCCGTTTTCATGATCGATTTTGCATTAAGTTGATACTCCAAAATAGACTACATTTTCGGACACATCGTTTTAGTTTGCGAGAAGATCGGATATTTGTGAGCCCTCAAATTGTAGGCCGTTCCGTTAATATGAATATCTCCCACAGACTCCATTAGCCTCGATGACGCCGCACTGTGTTAAACTTGAGAAATTTGTCGAAGGTGCCTCAGATTAGCACAAACGCATGAGCTAATTAAAAAAGGTAAAAGGTTAGGTAGAGATGGTGAAATGCTATGCTAGTTAATATTAGAGCCTTATTAAGAATTATTTCATAAGTTCCTCACATCAAGCTAGTTCATAAGACGCAAAAAAAAACTGAAAAAACAAAGTCGATTCTTCGATTATTCTCGATAAAAAACTTATCGGATGAGCTATCGAAACAATAAGATAAACTTGTACTGCGTATGGTATACACGAGTATGCATGCCAAATTTCAACTCTCTAGCTCTTCTGAGATCGGCTTGCTCATACGGACGGACAGACGGACAGGACTATATCGACATAGCTCGTCGCCCTGATCAAGAATATATATACTTTATAAGGCCTGTCAAGCCTCCATTTGCCTTAATTCCCACTTTCAATGGGCTCGGAATATAAATAGAATAGATATATATATTTTTATTTATATATCAAATAGAATACGTGGAATGTAGCAAACACCAAACTGCTGAGACAAGGAGAAACAGCTCAGCTTAGATTTCTCCGGGGAACCATGATAAAGTGTGCACCATGGCAAACGGCATAATGAAGACAAATAGAGAGGAGAGTTCTGTTGGCTTGGCTTTTGCCATGGATAATTTCAATTTATTTTCCTTCGATTCTCAACTGTGTGGTATACAAAATGCATGCGGCCCGCTATGGGCTCACTTTTGATTCTGATTATAGTTCCTGAGGTAGATGCCGGCGACGGCTTCCTGGAATCGGCGGCGTTTCTTGTCCTGCACCAGGTACGAGAACAACTGCTTGGGGCTCAAGCCACGCGCTGCCTGACGCTCCAACAGTGCGAACTCATCCTCGTTAGGTTCCTTATCGTATTGCTCCTCACCAGCGCCATATTTACCCAGTGGTTCTTGGGCAGCCGTTGTGGCTGCTGCTAGAGGTGCTGCTCCATCCCATTCATTCGCTTCCGAGTCATTCTCCTGCGCACTTAATCCTTGTAGTATGTCGATAAGAGGAATCGATTCACGACGAAAAGATCCACTTCGGCCACCACCAGGACCAGGAACAACACCAGCACCACCACCAGCACCGCCAGCAGCAGCACCGACACCGGGAGGGAACGAAAAGTTCTGTGCATTATTCGGGTTGACGATTATAATAGAGCCACCGGTTCCGCCATACAAATCGGAAAGTCCAGGAATCTGATTAGGAGGAAAACGATATGGTGGGAAATATGGGTAGTCTGCCCAGGGCGGACGACGATCTCTGTTCGAGTCTTGATTCGGCTGCACAATGACAATCGGTTGTTGAGGGTTATCTGGACGCCTATTCCAAAAAAGTAGGCGTGGCTGACTCGCAGCTAGAGCTGTGTGGATACAGATTGGAGAAACGTGATCGTGAACAGGAATACATAAAACAATTATAATTTCGATAGTTTGTAACTAAAACATAATGTTTTCTTTCTATTCTTGATGTTAAGCATGAATCTAAAATAATATATTTAAAAGGAAATCGAACAGTTCTGAAAGGATTCTTATTCATTTTCTGTCAGAACTCTGAATCCTTTGAGTTGATTTTCAATTTCCAAAATTCGTATACAAACTCCACTCAATCTTTAAGAATTAAAGAAGAAGAAATGAAGTTCAGAAATTTCAATACCAGCTCTTATGGTTCCTTCACTTACCCGCTCGAAAGCCATTCAACTCGCCATTCCTTATTTGTGCAGTTACGACAAAGGCCCCACAAATCGTTAGGAGTAACAAACTTGGAATAAAATGTTTAACCATCTTGGTATCTTCAGTGATTGCTGATGACTGTGCTCTATGCAACGATCATCAGCGCCTTATATAGCAGCTGTAGGTAGTTAGTAATAGAAGGCCAAGTAGCAGCACTTTCTAAGCTCTGTGTTGCTTTTCCCTTTAACTCAGTTTAAGGGTCAATTCGCGATAATTTCGCTTTGGCATTAAGTGCTAATTCGATATACGATCTATTTCTATCTCGGCTCTCGGCTAGCTTGTTAATATTATCGCCTCGTAAATCAATTTCAAAGCAATGCCTGCTGTCGGCTGTCTGCTTGGCATTCTGTTTATTGCAATCGTAAAATGTTTCAGAATTGGACTGTATTCTCACAATTCATGTGTTTTATTCATTTAGCGCAGTTCTCTGACCGAGTCTATGTTTTGCATTTTGCCTTTTCCCCGCTTTCATGATCGATTCAGCATTAAGTTGATACTCCAAAATAGACTACATTTTCGGACACATCGTCTCGCCGCGCTGTCCAACTTGTTTAGTTTACGAGCAGATCGGATATTGTAGGCCGTTCCGATAATTTGCAGATCTCCCAGAGAGTCCATTGGCCCCGATGACGCCGCAGTGTGTACATTGAACTTGAGAAATTTGTCGAAGGTGCCTCAGATTGGCACACACACGTGAGCTAATTAAAAGGCAAGAATGTTTCAACAAAGTGGAGGCTGTTGCCAACCCATGAAAGATGCCAAGCATCAATGCGAAAGCAGCCAATGAAGTGAAATTAAACATTTTGAAACTGTGGTAAAAGTGTGACTTAATTTAATTTTGTTTGTTGAGATTTAGGTTAGAGTTAAGAAAATGCTAGAGCAAATTTTGATGACACTCAATTTTGTTTGCCATAGACATAAACACTGTAGATGTTGTGATAAGTCCTAGAGGAACGTAGCTGTAGGTAGAGATAGGGAAAAGCTAAAACAGTTAATGCTTGAGTGTTATGAAGAAACTCTTTACAAAAATCTGACATCTAGTATAGGATATACAAAAACATAATCTATATTAGCTTTCATAGTTTAAACCATATTGAATCTCAACTCTTTGTCTTTGTATAAAAATTCAGAGTATTGGAAGGGCTTGAACAATATAGTTAATTAAGTAATACAAAACAGTTTCTTCATCAGACTAACTGTCTTAGTAATTGGCTTTAAATTAGAGTCTATTGAATCTCCAATCTGTGTCTCCATATAGATCAGCCGTGATTGTAAATTTTGGAGGCCTCTGAAATAGTTTCAAGTATATTAAATCTCGAATCTCTTCTCCTCAGCACAGCTATAAGAAAACTTGCATATCACCTTTTTTAAAATTCCTTTAAAAACAAACTTTTAAAAATCCTCAATCATTAGTTCCATATCAATTTTCTTGTACGTTACGCCTATAATAAATCCATTTCCTGTATTACGGCTGAGTAAATACTAGCTTGGCAATGTTCAAAAAAAAAAAAAAAAAAAAAAAAAAAAAAGCTAGGAAAATATTTCACCAGGCCCACTATAAAGTAAATGGCAAACAGCAAATAATATCAAACAATATCCCTTGCTGTATATACATATATATTGTATGTATATATGTATATTCCAAGCAATAAAAGTGAAAGCCGACATCATCCTGTACAATCAGAGACCTGGAGGCAACAATAAATCCTAGATACACAAAAAGTACAGCCATGTGAGGTAAATATTATTTAAAAAACCAAAACACGTAGGCAACACAAAGTACAAATCGCACTCAATCAAAATCACTTCGAGACCGCAGTACAGTCCCACCACAAGAATACACACACACACACACGCGCAAATACACAGAGTGAGAGCTTAAAAGATGAAATCCTCACAAAGTTGAAGAAGCTGGTAGGAGCTACATATACATATATATCCAACTCTATCTCTCTATCTATCTCTCTCTCTCTCTCTATCTATCTCTCTATCTATCTCTCTCTCTCTCGCTCTCTCTCTCTCTGTTGTTCCCTCAATAGGCCAGACTGCTAGCAGTAGAAATAAATATATACATACAGCTAGCAACAATTGTAGCAAAGACAAATTCAACACAGAAAACTGTCATGTACGAGGATTTAACAGATTTAAATTCTATTTGGCAAACGCTACATGGATTGTGTGAGCACATCCTTTTCGGGTGGCCCGCACAGGGCACGCTCCGAGTGCTGTCATTTAATATTGACCAAAGGCTTGCTAGCCTGATCTCGCCCTCACTCACTCACTCATTCTATCTCTCTCTCTCCCTCTATCTCCCTTTCTGTGTGGGCTAATGCGCTTGCCACGCCATGTGGCAGAGTTGTAGCTTTGTTGAGCTGCAGTTGCTTTATAGCTGGCCAGCCACTTAGCCCACATTAAGAGGCGCCTCGTTGTAGCTGGCCATGTGCAAATATTTATCGATTGGCATGACAATCCAATTCGTTATGCTTAAAACTACGGGCGCCATGTGTCCAACTGCCCCACGAGGTGCCAATCCACACACACACACACACACACACACACAACGAAACACACACAGCAGCAGCTGCCCTTTTTGTGATATTAAATGAAAAATCAGCACATCCAGCACCTGCCCAATCTAGAGCCACGTTTCGGGCATGGCCTATTTTGCATGTGTGTGCCTTTGTGCATGTGTGTGTGTGTGCCAGCATTTTTACGTAAATTGGCAGTTAAGACAGATTGGCCAACGACTCGACACAAGTGGGTGTTCACGAGAGCCTCAGCTCAATTGCGCCCGGACATTTGTTTTGCCAGCAGCAGCAGCAGCAGCAGCAACAGCAACAGCAACAGCAGCAGCAGCAACTTGGCTAACAAGTGTTTTTGTGGTAGGCTCAAAGCTGTGCTTGCTGTCTGGCTCTTAATTAAAGTTCATGTGGACAGTACGTGTTAATCTGCTGAAAAGTGCAGGCGGTCACTGTGTGACTAGACCAGCTATAAGTATAAGGACTAAGGACTTATAGCACACAACAATCAAATAGATTAACTCACACTTGGGCTACGAATTGCCATTGCCATAGCTACAAATTAAGACACTTTTCAGACACACAAGCTAAAAAGTAACTCTATAATCTCTGTATAATCCAATAAAGCAGACAAAACTTAAATTGTTTGAATTTGATAAATATGATATATGATATGATATATGAATATGATAAATATGATATATATACAGAGCTGAATACAGTTTTATGTTTATGCATAATCTGAATTAATTTATATGATTTTTTATACTTCAGCACATTGAAGAAGTTAAGCTAAGACTAGCTCATGCTTAATTTTAGGCCAATTTTTATCTGGCATATATTCATATATATTCTCATAGTCCAGTCCACCAAATGGCAGCAAATGTGTATAAGAAGAATAGACGTAAAAACCTCGCTATAATATGCCAACAAGAACTCGACTATAAAATGATATTGAAAGTGAAATAACATTTAAAAATATAAATTCATTACAGATTTCTTATTTAATAAATAAAATAAAAATCTTTCGCCACTTACCTGATGAAAGATATAACGCATACTTTATGTGTATACAGATATATCACGTATATAATAGTTTTCCCTAGATAAGGCACCATTATACCATATATATTTTTCAAAATCATTTCTCCGATCGACTGATACACCATTTGAGCTTCAGCGGCAGAGGCAGCTACAGCGGCAGTTGGGCTGCTTGAGTGACATTTGCTGTTTCGACATGGCCAAGTTGCCTTGGAAAAAGGCATTTCCAGCCATTTCCTGTGCGTTACGTGTGAGTGTGTGTGTGCGTCTGTGTTTTGTGTCGCGTTGCCATTAGGCATCCGCCACTGGACAGCATCAGCCTCCTTTAAGCAGCACCAGCAGCATCACCAGCAGGAGCAGGAGCAGCAGCAGCAGCAGCAGGAGCAGTAGCAGCCGTAGCAGCAGCAGCAGCAGCAGCTCTCAGCTGCCACTCAGCACAAATTTTCGGCAGCATGCTTTTCCGGTTTGCCAACGCAGCATCAGAGGCAGCAGCAGCGCAGCAGCAACTGCTGTTCGCATGCTTTTCAGCTTCGAATGAAGCTCGCCCATTTGCTTCCTGCTGCTCGAAGCCAAACCCCTCAGGATCACTCTAGTTCAATAAGGATTTCCGTTTCAATTCGTGCGCTGTGCCATTGTTGGAGTCGCGGTCGTTGCTGCTGCTGCTGCTGCTGCTGCTGGCGTCGCAGTCGCTGCTTTCGCTGGCGTTTGTCCATTTTTCGCTTATCGAATTTTTCACTTTGACGACCTTTTCGTGGCGCAAGGCTCAACTTTTTACACTTTTAGCAACAAAATTTCCTTGGACCGTTGCTCTTTGCCTTTTATTATTTATTTATTTATTTATTTATTTTTGTGCTGATTTCATGCGTTTGCGTTGCGACTTTTCGGCTGCTTTTTGTGCTTGATTTGCTTTCCAATTTTCAATGTGTCACTTTATGAGCGGGACCATTAATCAAAAACAAAAGGAACAACAACAAAAACTGGCGAACCTGAAAAGAGCGTTAAGAAATTATTGCTTAAATAAGCGTGTTTTTCTCTTCATACATATAGATGTTATATACACACATATATATAAATGTTATAGTACACACTGAATGGGGAGGCCTTGTGAATTGAGGCGACCGCAAAAATACTCTGAGTTGGCAATTCTGAAAAGTTTCTTTTTTCGCCCCTCCAACCGCTGTTGGTGCTTTTCTTTATTGATTTTGTATTTTCATGCGTCATTTGGCGGGCGTTTTGCATGCAACATACAAATTGCCAAGCCTCAGTGGAGGCATCGCAGCTGAGACTGAGACTTGAGTGCATAATTTATAGAGTTTGGCCATATTTAAAAAACAACAAATCAATTAGAGCGAGAGCCTGGAAACGCGATGCTGTCAAAGGCTGAGTCAACAGCTCAGCTCGATATGGGGATGGAGGCTGGGAATTTGTGACAAAGTGGAGAGTGGGAGATGCAGATAGAGGATGGGAATTGGAACATGGTAGATGTGAGAT